GGCCCACCTCTCCAGCCATCGCTCGTCACTGCTCTCCACTTGGACATCAAACAGTTGACCACAACTCTTTGAGTGTAACCATCCAGCCAATTCTTTATCCAATGAGTGGTCCATTTGTCAAATCCATATCTCTCCAATTTAGAGGCAAGGATGTTGTTTTGGACAGTGTCAAATGCTTTGCACAAAACCAGCATCTCTGTAGACCACCTAAAAATCACATAAAGGTTTATAATTTGATTCAGAGATGCATGGTTGGTCTCTCTTGCACAGCTACAAGCTACTAGTCTGTCCTTTGGATTTGGGGCTAGCAGGGAGCTATGACTATAACAATCCAGCAAGTGGGCTTTGACACCTGCAGATGGCAACCAGGATTTTTCTCAGATCCCCTCTTTACTGCAGAGTTCTGTACTTGACCTCAAGATCCCGTGCATCGTGTTCAGTTACAGTCTCCTTTCTCCTTTGCTCTTTTTCATATGATCTCTGCTTTTCAACTCGCCAGCTTTTGTTTTTAATCCCATGTGGTCCCCAATTCCTGGTGTTTTCTTTTTTTTTTTTTCTTTTTCCAACTTCTTTCTCTACTTAGTTGTTTAACCTTCTGCATCTTCTTAGCTGTGTCCTATGCTATGTTCATGTCTGTCACGTTCCCCATGAACCAGGGAGGGACAGGCAGCGAAGGGCATTCCAAGTTTCTGCCCACAATTTATTTTACTGTTTTATTAGTTCTTTTAAACATTCTCTTTGCAATTACGGCCGCTATAACACAGTATAACCTCCTGTTTCCAGAGGGAGATACTATGGATAATTCACAGGATACGTTTTGTTACAGTGGCTTTTCAGAAAGGGAAGAACAGCTGGTGGCAGGTGAACTCAGGGTGGAACACCTGAGTTATTGTTCCTTTGGTCTTGTTTGGGTTTGCAGATTGGACGACTTGAGGGGCAGGTTACAAGGTATAAAAATGCAGCAGAAAATGCAGAAAAAGTAGAAGATGAACTCAAAGCTGAGAAGAGGAGGCTTCAGCGAGAGGTAATTGACTGGAACTGCTCTGTCTTTTGCCTCCAAGCTCTGTGTTTTTGGTTTGGGTTTTTTGGTTTGTGTTTTAAATCTTCAGTTATTGCTTTTAAGTGCTTTTTGAGGAGGCCTCTAAGTGTGTCAGTATTGCATTCAGAAAACAAGCGTAGCACATAAAATTAATACTGATTGCAATTCAGTTCAGTACTTCCTTGAAAGGAAGGATCTAAAGTTGTATTTTCTTCTAAATGTAACAACTTGTACTATTTTAAACCAGTCCTTCCATAAAAATTACTGGGGAGCCAAATGCTCCTGATGTCAAGTGCCAGCCGGGGAAGTTTCCAGCATGTACCTCACAGGGAACTGAGAAGAAGCTGTATTTAACTGCTCATCCTTGCCTAAGAGCTGCTGCATGACTAGTATGATGCCCGCTACCCACAGGAGTATATACCCATCAGCAAGTCACAATGGTGGAGAGGGTTTTACTTTAAGTGGCATGTAGTAGGAAGTTGAGGCACCTAGGTTTTTTTGAAACGAGCACAAATTTATTTTTCAATTGCTTCCCAATTATTTTTTCTTTTAAAAACAGTTGATTTCCAGTTCATCTGACTGCAGTAATGGAAGTGTAATGTCTTAATTCAGATGGCGCTCTTATAAAGCATATCATACTTTTATTTCTGATTTAATTCCTCTGTCAAAGCTTAAGAACAACAGGAAGTCCAAGTAAACTTAAAGTGATCGTAACTTTTGCTTTCATTTTATAGTTAAGAACAGCACTGGATAAGATAGAAGAGATGGAGTTGACCAATAACCACTTAATGAAAAGGCTGGAGAAGATGAAGGCAAACAGGACTGCGCTTTTATCTCAACAGTGAAGTGAAAATTGGAAATACAATGCACTGCTCCTTGAATAACTAGCCCCTAGCTTGTTTTTAAAGACAGACTTTCATTGGCACAAACTGTTTGAACACTGAGCTGTTCGTTGGTGTTTTGGTTTTATAATTAAATGGCATCCTTCTTTTTGTAACTTATGAGAGAATGAAATGTAGTTTGAATTCCCACGTGAATGACAGCAGTTTTTCTGTAGCGTTGGATTCTAGAGTCAGAGCTGGAGCACAATGCTGTATATTCTTCTTAGCGACAGAAAATGTTTTTACAACTGTGGAATCAAGTTTACTCACGATCTCTTTTGGCTGCTTTAATGATGCTTGATGCTTGGAGACAACTGCATGAATTCCAGAAGACACTGTTTTACTGTATTGTAAACTAACGTATATTTGCTCGAGACATCACACAGCACAAGTGCCTTTTATCTGGTGCAATTTAGACTTCCATTTTTGAAATAACCTTTGAAATCAGATAACATTTTATTTTAAGATACATTTGGGGTATTCACTAAACTTTATACATTTTGAAAATGCATTTTTGTAAAATATTTAAATTTATAAGAAAATAGGGACTGTATATAAAAATCTGCTTTTTTGCATGGGCACATCTGAGTTCTAGGTAATTTTGTCAAATATTAGCCCCTGATACTCTTAGTACTAAGAGTGCAGATTTAAAAACTTCTCTTGTACACCGTCAAAGTCTGCGTCATCTGCTGCTTAAGTGTGAATTGAAATTTTAGGGTGGGAGGAATGGGTGGGACATGTGGCTAAGGAGTTTATTAAATGGACACTTTACTGACCAAAACCACATGTTCTGTGTTTCCTTTTAAATGCTGAGATAGGAACAGGACAGAGCAAAACCTTTGCAGAATCATGAATTCTAATCTCCATATTCTTGAAAAGTATCTCTTTGGCTTTGAAATAGTGAGTTTGATTCCCCCCCCACCCCCC